TGCCAGGCACCTTTGCTCCTCCCCTACCTCCTGGAAGGTGGGTTTTGAATGAAGGGTCGAAAGACTTGGGGATAGAAGTAAAGGGAGGGACACAGAAGCAGCCTCCTGTGGATGAGTGAATGCTTGCAGAAAAAAGCTTACAGCAGCAAATCTTAGTATTGAGTCAATGAATGTGCGCAGCCCCACGCTTAGTACATGATCCTAGCTATTGTGACAATGAGAATATAAAAGAAGATACGAAAGACCTGCTTCAAAAAATTGTGGCATCTCAGAGAATGGAATATCAGGTATGCAGTCATTAAAAAGGATGAAGCAGATCCGTGTGCACTGACACGGGAAGATGTTCACGTTACATTCTGTCCAGGAACACAGTTCCAAAGCAACATGCACAAGGTGACCGTTTTATGTCAAACGATCCTATGTGATGTTCGTGTGCAGGAGAGACGGCTGGAAGGATGTTCCTCACAGTGCTTACCACAGCTGTCTCTCCGATGGTGGGATTCCAGGTTATGTTGCACTTTTCTGTTTCACTTCGTTATAATGAGCATATGTAATTTTTAGGACAAAAAAAGCTATATTTATTTAAATAAAAAGAGTAGACTCTTGGCTTTGCACTCTCTCTCACTAGCTGCAACTGTACAAGCTGGTTTGTTGTGAGGATGAAATAATACTGTGAAAGCACACACTCATTGCTCAGTGCTTCTTTAGTGTCCTCTTTAAACATAAGCTGGCTGGAAACTTTATTTCGTCCTAAAAAAGGAAACGTGGGGTAGAGTGGAGTGAGAGAGGCTGTGTCACTGACTTGGGTTTGAATCCTAAATCCACTCAGTAGCTGAGACCAGGGCTGCTGTGCTGGGCCGCTCGGGGGCACTTTTCATGTTAGTGTATGCGATCCGTGGACGGTGTAGGAATGGAACTGGGTAACATGATGGCCCTGTCTGTGACTTCAGGAAGACACCAGCCCCCGTGTTCTCATCTGTTAACTGGGGGAGACAGGTGTTCAGCTTTCGGGCTGCAGTGAGGATAACCCAGATGTGGAGGCTGCAGCCTAGGGTAGAGGCCAGCGCCTGCTGCGGCTTGGGTGGCAGCTCCTTCCCTGGGAGGAGGAGTTTCCAGGTGGACAAGAAGGGTATTCCGGCACGTGAGGACAGAGGCAGGAGACGACACTGCACAGCTAGATGCAGAAAGGCAGCTGGGTTGCTACTTCTTACGGGCATGTATTTGATTATCTGCCTATGTTAAAATCAGTTTCTTAAAAAAGTCTGTAAACTTAGTTTTTGGAACTGCTTCACAGAGTGAAACACAAACATATTGCCGGCATACACAACCCTAACATACAGAAATGTGGCCCCGCCCCTCCCCACCCTGAAAGGCTGCCAAACTCCCTCAGAGGGACTCCCTGAGCGGACATGGCTGCCAGCACACACAGGGGACCTCGGCAGCCCATACTGATATTGGCCTGCTTTCCGGGAAGCCCCCAGAATGAGAGTCATATCTTAAAACGCTGTTGTGCTGTTGCGGAGTCTGCCTCTCGTCCCTCAAAGCATGGATTTGACAGTCATTTGTAACCTTAGACTCATGTGAAGGAAACAGAAGGACCAACTAGAGGATGGGAGAAGAGAAGGCCTCAGAGCACCAGAGAATCTATTCTTCTGACACGGCTTCTAGCAAAATTTAGAGATTCTAGCAAAAAATCAGATTCTATTGCCAACTGATAAGAAACTCTCATTAAGATGGGCCAAATACCGCACTTGTCAGATATTAGTAACAAAAGCTAGTACTTCTAGTGTTTTATGTTCCACAGACCTGGTTCTAAGACCTTACACACACGAGCACACTCAGTCCTCACAGGTACTGCAGGAGGGAGGTGCTTTTATCATTTTCATTTCACAGCGAGGAAACTTGCTAAGGCACAGTTTACTTGCTGAAGGTCACATCTGTCAAGAAGCCACTTCATTAGTGTAACAACTACTTATATAGCGTTCGTCCTGGTTTACGCAATACCTCTCAAATGTGACTACATCCGATCCTTGCTCTCACCCTGAAAGACGGCTCTTATCTCACGTTACAAACGGGGACCTGTAGCTCAGAAAGCTGCGGGGACTTGCCCAAAGCTTCAGAGTTAACAGAGGAGCCCAGGTTTTCAGAACCTAGACCTTGAGCCCTTTCATAAACTCAAGGGTCTGTGAGTTCTTTAAGAACAAAATTCTGTCTTCAATTAGATGATAATCTTTAAAAAACTCACAAAAACCTTTGGAAATGCAAACTTGCAATTTGAAAGATGTTTTCAGAGAACAGGCTTTGGGTTTTAAGTTGTACTTTTCAGTATTCTTTTGGGTCAATAGGTATTTTTTCCTTTAAAAGGGGTCCATTCATTCCCAACTTGGAGAAACAATGAGCTTTTACCAGGCCCTTTCACTTGGTGATAATGTATTTTTAAAATCTCATTTTCTATTCAAATAGATTTCAGTCTGTTTTTTATACGGCTTTTTTTCTTTTTTTAAACTCTCCAGGTGATTTAACAAAAAGCTGAACTGAAAGCAGAGCTATCTGACTGGGCTTGAGATGGTTGCTAAGGAGTCATTAAGTATAGATCAGAAACACAAACTGTAGCTTTACAGGTTTCATGCTGAGGCTGGCAGGATCACGCCTAACTGCTCTATCTTGTGAGGCGGCCCGTTGGACTGAAGAGCACACACCTCCGGAGGACCAGGCCGTGGAGGTGCCAAGTACTGCGTATGCCAGGAAAAGTCCTTGCAGTTAGCAGAGAAGCTGAAGCTTCCAGTGGCAGAAAGGCTGCAGGAGCTCTGCCCCACTGGTGAAGCTTTACAAGCTCTGCAGCTGTGCACAAGGCTAGGAGACTCACTGCAAGGAAGGCTGAGGAAGAGCTAGAAAGGAGGTATTCTCAGGCCTAAGAGGAAAATACAGATAAAAAATGACAGATATCTAGTAGAAATGTGCAAGATCCTAGGCAATTGTTTTAAAATCTTGCTCTATATTATCTTTTAAAGGAAACTTTACATGTGAATGCCTTTTTACAATTTTATAAAGGACGTGTTTGTACATTACAGGTTTTGGTCCTTTTAGGTAGACAGAACAGATGGGAAACTGGAGGCCCAGACTCTTGTGTTAGCCAAGTCGCGCTGCAGGCAGAAGCGAGCCTGCGCCCGCAGTCAGAGACCAGCACGCTGTCCACTCTATCTCCAGTTACGTGTGCTAACAGCTAGTATGGTGTATGCTGTTTTAGTTTAATAGTTTCATTTTTATAGGGAAAACAAGCATAATTGAGAAGTAGCTAAATTCCCTAAACTGTACTCATGGAAAGCCTTTGTAGTTCCCCAGTGAGCCCACAAGAAAGCCAATGCCATCTGCCTTGTGGCAGTTTCATGAAATGGCAAACAGTACCCAGGAGGAAATAGTGTCACAGATGGGAAACTCAAACCTATGAATTCATGGCAAATGTCACTGCATTTACAGGGAGAGGAAAAAATCTTACGTGATTCTTCTTTGTATGCTGAAGACTTTATTTTTTGAAACTTTTAGGGGAATCAATTCCATTTAATAAGCATTTATAGAATGCCGCAGAAGCCCAGGGGCGCAGGGGTAAGCCACGCTCTGAAGAGCTGCCCCTCTCCAGGGCGCCTCCTTGGTAGGTTACCCGGAAGTTAGAAAGAGGCAGTTCTACAGGATGAGCCTTTGAAAACGCCAATCTGTTCCCTATTTTTAGGTTTGGATCTGTTTTCTATTTTTTTGTTTTCATATATGAGTTGAACTCTTTACTTTTCTCCATTGAGAACAAACCAAAATCCATCTTAAAGAATTAAAATGCAGAGAAGAGCTTCTGTGGAAATGAATCTTGACTCAGGGTCACACAACCTCAGACACGTGCACGTCAGACTCTGCGTGCTCAGGACAGACACAGGGGAAGCCAAACGCTTCTCTGGGCCTGAGTGCTGTTCACATTGTTTTGCAGTTGTCAGAGTGTGGGAAGTACAGACAATAAAAAATGTGAAATAAAGGCTGTTTGTAATGGCCCATCAATCATGGTCGACTCCTGAATGGGGAAGGCTGGTTTCAAGCTTGAAATACAAACCTAAAACCTCAATTCCTCTCTCCCCATCACACTGTTATTTCATACATCAGCACAAAAACCAGAACGAGTTGCATGAAAACAAAAGCTCATTTTCCTGTACGGGAATGCATCCGTTGTTAAAGGCCAGAGATCAAAGCCTGACAGTTTTCCTATGTTCCAACCTGACCTACAGTATACTATAAACAACCTAGTCCTAAGTTTACTCCTCAAATGGTAACAGCTAGTTTTATTTCATGAATTATAGTGTCCAAATGAGTTGATTAATTTGCTTTTCTCACTGTGTCTGAGTCAAGCAGGCCTCATGCAGAATTCAGAAATTGGACAGATGACTTAAACTTTGAAAACTGAAGTGACTTCTTGAGAAGGGGCAGGAGAGGGAGGATGGAAGCTCTGCGTGCCAGAGGCTCGGGGGGCTCGGTTGGCTGATGCCCGGCCTGCTCCTGAGAGCAGTTTCCAGTCTCTGTGGCCGCAGGCTGGGGGTGAAGCTCCTTGCCAGGAGACAGGGTAGGTCCATTTGCTTTGCTCAGCCTCTGCTGAGTATTCAAGATATCACAATCTCTTTTTCTGCCAGGGAGGATACCGCACCAAGGGGGACTGGTTTGGCTGTTACTTTAGCGTCTTTACCATGTACGGGCCTTGTAATCTGTAACCAATCTTTCTGTAATAATTCCTGGTGCCGACCCCTGTGAAGGAGCAGAAAAACAAAAGTAAGAAGAGTCTCTACTAAGCGAAACGTCAGTACCCCTCGAAAGCCAGCAGAGGCTCCCCTCTGAGCCGTCCTCCTCCCCTCTCCCACTCCCGTTCACAGACCAAATTCCAATCAAGATTGAACCCCATTTCAATAAGTTCGGCACAGTTTCATTACTTTGGATTCCAGCTGTATTAAAATACAGAAACTCTATTTCAGAGCCTGCGTATTTCCAACCCTGCTGGCAGCACACAGCACTACTTCAGACGTCGCAGGTGAATGAGAAGAGGTGGATTTAATGGGTTAGATGTCTACACTCGCAATGAAGCCAGACAGTATTATGGTTTCCTGGAAGTCTGAAGGAGAGAAGAGGGGATCCGGAGAGCTGCCAGCAGCAAAGGCATGCTGAAGGAAGAAAGAACTCGCGTATGAGTGTCAGTGCCACACTCACTCATCACGAGCGACAATTTCAGCAAAATCTCACCATCAGTCACATTAAATTAATGGTACTTAATTTGCGTTCTATCAGTTTTGTTTGTATTAATTGGTGTATTTGTCTTGTTATATTATCAGCAGAAGCACCAGAAGTTTAGACCACTTTTATGTTTGTAAACATTTAAGGAACATTAGCTGCTTTAAGTCAATACTAAAGTCTATGAACTGTTTTTCTTTAAAAGGAATCTATATATTAAGTTTGAGAAACACTATCCTAAATGCTGCCTCTAAAATACAACACAGGATAAGAGGGTAAGGCAGGGCTTATACGGGAACATCCGTAGGCGTGGTTAAGAGCCGGGGCTGTTTAATTTTTACTGAGGTCATAATAGTTCATAACATTGTGAAATTTCAGTTGTACATCACTATTTGTCAGTCACCATACGTGCCCCTTCACCTCTTGTGCCCACCCTCCCAATCCCCTTCCCCTCTGGTAACCACTAAACTATTCTCTTTGTTCGTGTGTTAGTTTATCTTCCACATGAGTGAGATCATATGGTGTTTGTCTTTCTCCCTCTGGCTTACTTTGCTTAACATAATACCCTCAAGGTCTATCCATGTTGTTGCGAATGGGATGATTTTGTCTTTTGTTAGGCTGAGTAGCATTCCGTTGTATATATATAATACATCTTTATCCTGTCATCAGTTGATGGGCACTTGGGTTGCTTTCACTTCTTGGCTATAGTGAACAAGGCTGCAATGAACACAGGGGTACATAAGTCTCTTTGAATTGTTGATTTCAAGGTCTTTGGATAAATATCCAATAGTGGGATAGCTGGATTCAGCAGTGTAAGAGGGTTCCCTTTCTCCACAGCCTCTCCAACATTTGTCCCTCTTTGTCTCGGTGATTGCGGGCATTCTAAGGGTGTGAGGTGGTATCTTAGTGCGGTTTTGATTTGCGTTTCCCTGATGATCAGCGATGCTGAGCATGTTCTCATACGCCTATTAGCCACCTGTGTATCTTCTTTGAAAAAACGTCTGTTCATATCCTCTGCCCATTTTTTGATCAGGTTTTCGTTTTTTTGTTTAGTTGTGTGAGTTCCTTATATACTTTGGAGATTAGCCCCTTCTCGGATATATGATTTGTAAATATTTTCTCCCAGTTGGTGGGTTCTCTTTTTGTTTTGTTCATGGTTTCCTTTGCCTTGCAGAAGCTCTTTAGTCTTATGAAGTCCCACTAGTTTATTTTTTCTTTTGTTTCCCTTGCCCACACAGACATGGTATTTGAAAGGATCCTTCTAAGACCATGTCAAAGAGTGTACTGCTGGGGCCGGCCCCGTGGCTGAGTGGTTAAGTTTGTGTACTCTGCTTCGGTGGCCCAGGGTTTCGCATGTTCGAATCGTGGGTGTGGACATGGCACCGCTCATCAGGCCATGCTGAGGTGGCCTCCCACATGCCACAACTGGAAGGACCCACAACTATGTACTAGGGGGCTTTGGGGAGAAAAAGGGGGAAAAAAAAGTGTACTGCCTATACTTTCTAGGAGTTTTATGGCTTCAGGTCTTTGATCCACTTTGAGTTTATTTTTGTGTGTGGCATGAGACAATGGTCTACTTTCATTCTTTTGCATGTGGCTGTCCAATTTTCCCAACACCATTTATTGAAGAGACTTTCCTTTCTCCATTATATGTTCTTAGCTCCTTTATTGAAAATTAGCTGTCTGCATATGTGTGGTTTTATTTCTGGGCTTCAGTTCTATTCCATTGATCTGTGTCTGTTTTTGTACCAGTACCATGCTGATTTGATTACTATAGCTTTGTAGTATATTTGAAGTTGGGGATTGTGATGCCTCCAGCTTTGTTCTTTTTTCTGAGGATTGCTTTAGCTATTCAGGGTTTTTTGTTGCGCCATATGAATTTTAGGATTCCTTGTTCTACTTCTGTGAAGAATGTCATTGAGATTCTGATTGGGATTGCATTGAATCTGTAGATTGCTTTAGGTAGTATGGATATTTTAACTATATTTATTCCTCCAATCCATGTGCATAGATTATCTTTCCATTTCTTTATGTCATCATCGATTTCTTTCAATAATGTCTTAGTTTTCATTGTATAGGTCTTTCACCCCCTTGGTTAAATTTATTCCTAGACATTTTATTCTTTTTGTTGTGACTGTAAATGGGATTATATTCTTGAGTTCTCTTTCTGTTAGTTCATTATTAGAGTATAGAAATGCAAGTGATTTTTCCAAGTTGATTTTGTACCCTGCAAGTTTGCTGTAGTTGTTGATTATTACAATAGTTTTCCGATAGATTCTTTAGGGTTTTCAAAGTATAAAATCATGTCATCTGCAAATAGCGAGAGATTCACTTCTTCCTTGACAACTTGGATACCTTTTATTTCTTTTTCTTGCCTAATTGCCCTGGTCAAAGCCTCCAGTACTATGTTGAATAAGAGTGACAAGAGTGGGCATTCTTATCTTTGTTCCTGTTCTGAGAAGGATGGCTTTCAGTTTTTCCCTACTGAGTACGATGTTGGCTCTGGGTTTGTCATATATGGCCTTTATTATGTTGAGGTACTTTCCTTCTATTCTCGTTTTATTTAGAGTTTTTAGAATAAATAGATATTTGAAACTGTCAAATGCTGTGTGTCTACTGAGATGATCATGTGGTTTTTATTCCTCATCTTGTTAACGTGGTGTATCACACTGATTGATCTGTGGATGTTGAACCATCCTGTGTCCCTGGTATAAATCCCAATTCATCATGGTGTATGATCTTTTTAAATGTATTGCTGTATTTGGTTTGCCAATATTTTGTTGAAGATTTTTGCCTCTATGTTCATCAGTGATATTGGCCTATAATTTTCCTTCTTTGCGTTGTCCTTGTCTAGCTTTGGCATCACGGTGATGTTGGCCTCATAGAATGTATTATGAAGTGTTCCATCTTCCTCAGTTTTTTGGAACAGTTTGAGAAGGATAGGTATTAAATCTTCTTTGAATGTTTGGTAGAATTCTCCAGAGAAGCCATATGGTTCTGGACTTTTATTTTTGGGGAGGTTTTTGATTACTGTTTCAATCTCTTAACTTGTGATTGGTCTATTCAGATTCTCCATTACTTCTTGATTCAGTTTGGGGAGGTTGTATGAGTTTAAGAATTTATCCATTTCTTCTAGGTCATCCAATTTGTTGGCATATAGTTTTTCATAGTATTCTCCTCTAATCCTTTGTATTTCTGTGGTATTGGTTGCAATTTCTCCTCTTTCATTTCTGATTTTAGTTATTTGAGCCTTCTCTCTTTTTCTTAGTAAGTCTGGCTAAGGGTTTGTCAGTTTTGTTTATCTTCTCAAAGAAACAACTGTTTCATTGATCCTTTCTGTTCTTTTCTTTCAATTTCATTTATTTCTGCTCTAATTTTTATTTACCACCTCCTGCTTACTTTGCGCTCTGTTTGTTCTTTTTCTAATTCTCTTAGGTGTATTTTAAGATTGCTTATTTGATATTTTTGTTTGTTAAGGTGGGCCTGTATTGCTATGAATTTCCCTCTTAGGACTGCTTCTGCTGCATCCTATATTAGTTGGTATGGTGTATTTTCATTCTCATTTGTCTCCAGATACTTTTTGATTTCTCCTTTAATTTCTTCAATTGTGGTATTTTCACACAATGGAATACTACATAGCAACAAAAAGTGAAAGGACTATAGCTATCTGCAACAACATGAATGACTCTCAGAGACTTCATTTTGCATGAAAGAAATCAGATATAAATTCCATCAACACGAAGTTCAGACACAGGCAAAACAAATTTTATGGTGATAGAAGTCAGAATACTGGTTACATCTGAAAGATATGGACTGAGAAAGGAAAAGGAAAGTCTTTTGGAGTGCTGAAAATGTTGTATCTTGATCTGGGTTAGTAGTTACATGGGAATAGATAGATGCAAAAATTAATCAAGCGGTATACTTAAAATGTTGTACTTTATTGCATATATATCTCAAAAAAACAAAAACGAAACTCGAGGAGGCACACCTATTTAATAGATGTTTCAATGTGTTTTAAGAGCTCAATTTGTCCAAAGAATTCAGTGAAACAAGGTGGAATGAGTAGGATGAGAGGCAGGTGGTTAAGAGCCATCACTATATCATACAGACGCATCTGAAGTCATTCAATGCAGTGCTTTCCGTTTCTAGAATCCCACTTGCTAGAAACTATTTTTCCACCTCCCTTTCTCCCACTTTAGCATCCACATTCAAAGTGAACTATGCTCTGTGACATGACAGCATTCAGTAGAGGCACAGGCACGTCAAAATTAAAACCTGACTTTTCCTCATCTTCAGGGCCATGCAGAGGCCATTAGCATGGGCAGGTGAATCTAAGGATTTTCATCAAAGGAGCGACATGACTGACTTGCATTTGAAAGAGATCACTCTGATTGCTGTTTTGAGAAGAGAAGGAATGCTCCAGGAGGGCAGGGATTTTTATCTGTTCTGTTCACTGCAGAATTGCTGGTGCCCAGAGCAATGCCTGGCACGTTATTAAGTACTCAATAAATATTTGTTCAATGCATAAGTGATCAAGGGCAGAAATAGGGAGACCAGTTAAGAAGATCTTGTAATAATCTAGGTTAGAGATGGTGGTGGCGCAAAGGAGAGTCATAGCGGTGAAAAGTAGCTGGAATCTGGAAATATCTTTTAAGGCAGAGTCAAAAGAATTTGTTGATGGATGTAGGGTGTGACATAAAGAGAGGGGTCCAAAATGACTCTAAAAGTTTTGGTCTGCATAAGCAACGGTTTGGAGAAAGAAGGAGTTGCCGTTTACTGAGACTGGAAAGATGGTGAAAAGAAGGGGTAGAGAGGGAAATCAAGAGCTTGGTTTTGGCTATGCAGATGAAATGGCTATTAGACGTGCAAGTGGAGACATTGAGTAATATGTGATTTTGGAAGCCTTACTTTCTCTTAAAAAGAGACAGAGAAAAATGATCTCTTTTCTTGGACTGAGTAGAGCAGTAGCCTTGCAAGGGGAGTTGGCTGAGGAGGAAGCAGTGATGTATGGAGAATGGCAAAGTGGGAAGATGGAGACAGTG